GGAAAATAGCAAGTAATGCTTGGTTGTGAAGTTGAAGGATTATTCTTTTTTTCCAACAACTTTTATTAAAAGGCATCCAACAGCTCCATTTTCTTATAGTCCACAAGCACCTCCGTGAAGATCATCCTATGTAGGGCTACCTTGAACTGCAAGTCTAATGGGCAGTGGTGTCAAAAGTACACACATATGTTACTGAAGTAGAAGTATAGATACTGCAGTTTAAAAACACTCTGGTAAAAGTTGAACTATCAACTTGACCTCTTTAATCAAGTAAAAGAGAAAAGGTATGAGCTCCAAAAACTACTTAAAGTATAAAAGTATAAAGTAACCTTTAAAAAAAACAGCCAGATCCCACTATATCAATTGAACGCTCAATTTTTCGACTATTTCAAAAAATTCTTTTAGATAGGGCCAAGGATGAGGGAGGTCTTGTTAGTCTCCATCTCCCGATACGCTCTCGCCTGTGTCCGAGCTTTCAGACATTTCAACATCTTTTTCTGAACCCAATATTGTAGCATGGCATAGACAATTCAAGTTTGCAGTTTGAAGAACACCTGCTTGCTTCTGATGATTTCCTTTAGCTAACCAACGCGTTTGCGTTATATGACTCATCCAATTACACTAGTTTTCACTAGATGTGGATAGCGCCAATGATCTGCATTGGATGGCGCACATTACATGAAATAAATATTTAGAAACATAAAACCAAAGCCAAGAGGAACGAGTAATGTTTGTTTTAATAAAGTAAGGAATAGAAAGTACAGATACTTATGTGAAAATGTAATGAGTAGAAGTCAGAAGTAGGAAGAAAAATAAGTAATGGAGTAAAGTATAGATACCTAAAAAGTGTACTTAGGTAAGTAACGGAGTATTTTTTACTTCGTTGTCATGCTGCCATCACTGTGCTTTTGCCATTAGGAAGTGCATTTAGGGGGCTGTTTGCGTTGGTAACCTTTGCCACAAGTCAAAGAGTTGAGTTAGATTGACCAGAAAACTGTCGTAAACGATTAGATGTTTTATGTCTGTCTTTCTTCCTTTCAACAAATAATCCATATTAGCTGTGGATGGCAGTGAGACATGCAGAACATTCCATAAAGAGTTTCTGCAGCATTTTATACTGAGCGCCGCTTTCCTTTGCTGAAGCCATTATTTGGGTAGACACTAGAGGGCACTGTAGAGCACAAACCACCAGCTTGTAACACCACACTACATGTAGAAATAGAAAACATGGCTGTTTCCAACATTCCAAAAGCCTCTGGTTGTATTTCTAAAGAGATAATAGTTTATTTCCATGAGTTGTGGAACTTCTAAATATGTTTATACTTGCAAACCCCTGCCAATACGAACTGTCTGCCATTTTTCCATGCATAACTGCATGGCTACATTTTGAACACCTCCCTAACCTGCCTCCTGCTATTTGTTCACTAATGTTCCCTAATACCCCTTTCCTACTGGCTAAAAAACCCGTTTAAACCAGGGAACATTCTGCTTTTAGTGGCAGCGGGAATGGATGTCTAACCAGATCAAGCGACTTGCCAAGCGACCCATGTTAAAATCGCATGCTGTGGAATCACCAGACCTGGTTTGACACGCTTTACGTGATACCATTGAGTGCAATGTACAGACGTCATTATGCTGCGCCAGTCATATCTGAATTTAAGCCGAAACAACTCTGTTTACATTTGATAAACTTACCACAGTTCTAGTGAGAGGGATTCGGACTGACAAAAGAGCAGAAAAATAAAGCACACTTACTACACTCTGGTTCACTTCTATGTTGCTGTCCATTGTTTACTTTCCTGATTTTTAGCCGCAGGGGTGACTTTATCAACAATAACCCAGTGTGATAGTGTCACCAGAAATGCAACTGCGGGGGCACACAAGCCTTGCAGCTTGCCACCGTAGGGGCAGAACCAGCTTTTTTTGCCAGTGGGAAGAGAGCCAAATGCTGATTGTTAGCCAGTCAACCAATGTTTGAAAAACATGTGAACCCATTAATTTCAGTGGGAAATATGCCTGACAAACCTATGAGGCATTCATTAAACGACTGGATTTATGTCAATGTATCTACAGGTGGACTCTCTGGGTGACTTCTAAAGGTAATTTATGAAATTATATCAGAAATCATATAACAGTTGTGTTCCAAAGCGAAAAAAACAAACAAAAATCAATATAATGAAGTTCATGGCTGTTATGTGACAGCTTTGAAGTGTGAATGCTTCTGTAAGGCGCTGTCTGGTTTGCTCTCCTCCCACTGTGAGAGCAATGAAAATTTAACCGCTGATCAGGAAAAGAAAAAAAAATTCCTACTTAAATGTGCAGTTAAACCAATAATAAAGCCTTTAACATGTGAACGCGCCTTGTAGAAGTTGCGGTTGGTGTGTTTAGTAGTCAAAGGCCCATATGCTTCGCCTCCAATCTCCCCTACTCCCTTTCTCAGTATCCGCTTCTCTCACTTTCCCACTGGGTGGAGGGGCTATAAATTAAACTGGGAAATTACTGCTAACTGTTGGAATAAATTAAGGCGCTTTTGCGTCTGTAAACACCGTCTGACTGCGTAATTACACTCCCACTCCTGCTGAGACGCCATGGAGAGGGAGTGCGGCAGAGACGGAAAGCAGCTCATGAGGGGGGCGAGAAAGGAAGGATGAACTAAATATCTCAGAGGGGTCAGATGTTAGTCGCTCTCTCACTGAGCCCTGGATGTGAGCAGGGCGCTGTGAGAGATGGTCTCAATTATCATATACTTAAACATGTGTTAATGGTTTGAATGTAACACTGTTCACATCATCAAATATTACTCTAAGTGACTGTCTTCAGTGATGCAAGAAGTAAAAAGTTGGAACTACACATTCAGGGCGGTCATCTCAGAGGCCAGCAGCATCCTTCAGTGTATACTGAGAGTCGGTGTGAGCGATAGGAAAAGGCAAGAACCAGACAGACACTGTCCTCAAGGACAGCGGCACAATCAGTCTGAGCATTACAGGGCGAGTCCATATTATATCACCAGGCAGGCACATTTAATTAACACGTCTGAAAATGTGCAAGCGACTGTAAACCAACATCAGCTGCTGACACTGAGTCATGAACTCAAACAAGGTTGTTGACATTAGTCGGTACAACACAGCCGCTGGTAGCTGCGCTCTCAGTCGCCCAGGCTGCAACATTAATGAAGGCAAGACTTTATAATAAGCCTCGCTTCTCTTAGGTTTTTATTTTCAAGTAAGGTAAAAAAGAAAAAAAAATCCAGTGGTGGACACCCACAGTTTGAGCTCCACCATGACTCACATGTGGATAATCTGACAGAATGGTAGAGCTGTCTTCTGAAGAAATTAAAGGGAAGGAAGGATCTTATATTTATGGTATTAATCAATAATGTGCCTTTAACAGATGAGTGGTGATATAAAAATACACCAGAAAACCCATTAAAACTTCTATGTGTGCCATAATGAGACACACCAAATATGAGACAGATGATACGCCAGCTAAAAAGACATCGACATCTAGCTTTATGACCAGGTAGAACTATGCGATTAAAAAAACTGATACTTCACAAGCATCCTGAACACATCATTTCCACAGCCATGCATGGTGGTGGCAGGATCATGGTGCTTTTTTTACCCCAGCATGTAAAGTGAGGCTGGTCAGAGTTGAGATGGAAATGGGTGCATTGGGCTGCATCGAAAGCCAAACATGCACAAAAGCCTTTGTTTGATTAACACATTGTTAAATGGCGGTCAATGTCCTGAGTAAAATGGCTTAAAGAAAGAAAACAGGTTTGTAAAACATTTGGCCACCTTTAAGTATCTGAGGGAGCCAGGTGGTTCGGTCACTCCCAGATCTCACATCACCTGGCTGCTCCAACAGGAAATTATGGTTCATAACTGATCTGTTGACAGACAGATTAGAACCTTTTAAGCCACATTGTTTCTGGTGCAAATGTTTCAGATTTAGTTGGAGAAAAGGTGCACAAGGCAATCTGACAACAACAAGAGCATAGATATATACAAATATATAGATAGATATATACTGCTTTATGAGATGGTAAATTATGTTGACACTGCTCAGTGGGAAATCCAGGCCCGTTTGAATTAGAAATGGACACCAAGTAATGGGCAAAGAAACTGTCGAGACCTTGAGTGGCATCTTATAGGGCGGGCGCTCCCACTGCTGGTTAATATTTGACTTCTAATAGATAAAAGCATTAATAGAATAGATCAAAATACATTTTTATACAGGTCTAGTTATAGAGATGATTAAAAAAGTAAATTTTATTTCCTAAGCCAATGGGAAAACATGCACCACTTGTTAATCTTTTAATATATTGTATTTCATATAGATAGATAGATAGATAGATAGATAGATAGATAGATAGATAGATAGATAGATAGATAGATAGATAGATAGATAGATAGATAGATAGATAGATA